GAAAGTACTATACTGAGAAAACCCAGGCCCATAAAAACAGACGTGGCATGTTTTCTCTTATATGTGTACAATAATCTATGAAAATTTTGAGTAATGTTTTTAACTTTGAGTGCATGAAAAGGTCCAAAAAATAAGCAGGGGCCATTAGAGGAATGAGTGGTAAGCAACCTAAAGGGAGGAAGGACAATGGCTATGGAAGTGGAAACAAAAATGCTGTGAGTGGCAAGGGCTAAGTAGGAAGTTAGTAGAAGGATAAGGAAAAGGAGGAGAGTGTGATAAGTAAAAATAAGGATATAGTCAAAAGCAATATGGAAACTATTAATTATAGCTTTATTAAAAATGGAATCATAAAAAGTATTTGGAGGTACTCTCCATAGGTGACTAATCCTCCTCACAGAAGCCATAAGTTATAAAATGAAAATCCCAGTGCCAAGGTATGGGGCAGCTAACCACAAGTTGTTGGTCAGGGAGCTCTCTGAAGGCCCCCTCCCCCAAACAATACATGCTATTGCTCTTGCTGTTGATTGCCAACTAGAATCTGATGGTAAGACCAGATTGCTCAAGACACTGCATACTTTAGTCATAGGACATAGAGATAAGTTAAATATTTCATCCTACTAGATAGCTTTCCCAGGGCCGGAAGGTTCTAAGCATGCTGAAGAGGGACAGACATCGTCAATTGTCATACCCAGCTCTGACTCCTACAAGCTAAAATAAGGCCTTTCCAGCCAAGATAGGCCCTGCAGCACAATGATGGCATGACTGATATATTGGTGTTCTAGTTACTTTCTTTTTTAAAACATTTTATTTATTATTCTTATTTTGTTTGTATGCCTGTGTTGCCTGCATGTGTGTAAATGCACCCATGTCATGCCATGCCTGTGGAATTCAGAAGAAGAAGGCATCTGATTTTCCTGGAACTGGAGTTACGGGTGTTTGTTAGCTGCCATGTGGATGCTGGGAATTGAATACAGGTCCTCTGCAACAGTAGTCAGTGCTCTCAACTGCTGAGCCATCTCTTCAGCCTTCTAGGTACTTTCCATTGCAGGATAAAAACATTGATTAAACCAACTTGAGGAGAAAAGGTATGATTTGGCTTATAGCTCATAGTCAACTGTCAAGGGAAGCCAAGGCAGGCATTCAGGGCAGAAATCTGGAGCACAGACCATGGAGGCATGCTGCTCACTGGCTTGATACCCTGGTCTGTGCTCAGACTGATGTCTTATAAAACCAACAATCAACTCCGAAGTAGTGGTACCACCTGCAGGAGGCTGTGACCTCCCACATCAACCACGAATTACAAAAGAGCCTCACAAGACATGCTCATGGGCCAACTGAGATGTGCTCATGGGCTAATCAAGTCGAGATAATTCCCAAATTCAGGATTCTTCTTCCTACATGTGTCAAATTGACAACTGAAAGCATCCAACACAAGTAGTAACCAATCACTGACTTGTACTTGAGGCCACAAGAGGGAACTCAAGTCTGGTTCTGTAAACCTGATCAAGAGCCCATGACTGGAGAGGTCATACTCCCTCTGGGGTAACCTGCCTAAAATTGTTTGCACAATGATCATGCTGTCAAACTGTGTTTTATTTTATTTTCAAAAATATTTCTATTTATTATTTATATTTTATGTATATGAATGTATTGCTTGCATGTATGTAAGTGCACCTGTGATATGTAGTGCCTATGGAGGTCAGTAGACAGTGTGGGATCCCCAGGAACTGGAGTTACATGGTTGTTAGCCACCATGTGGGTGCTGTTACCAAACCTAGGTCCTCTGCCCGAGCAATCAGTGCTTTTAAGTAGTGAACCATCTCCCCTGTCCCAAAATGGCTCCTTAAAATCTCATGTTTATGCTAATAACTTCACAGTGTACCCAGTCTTCATTAGAAAAATTTCTTTCTATAGCAGACAGTGGTTAACACAGAAATCCATAACCTGTCAAATTGCTCAGGAAACTAAGTGATGGAGGAGTATCTGGCCCTGAATTGGACAGCTATAGCTCTCTCCCAGTGCCAGTGAACATTGTTGAAGAGAGAGTGAAAAGAATGTAAGAAACAGAATGGGGGGAGATATGTAGCAAAAAGACATCTTATGGATATGACATACATAGCTGTTACACTCATGAATTCAATGCAGCTGTTGTTTACTGCTCAATATCTACTCAGGATTGGGCCCATCAACATTTTATCTTGGCTGTGGAAAAGGGGCACAAGAGGCCCCACCCATCCCTGAGGGTCTATTGGCAATTAACTGTTATTGGGGGAGGGATGGGTCATTTTGTTCAACAGTGTAGGCACTGATAAGTTGTCCTTGTCCAAGTACATAACCTTCCACCCACATTTCGGAAGGAAACAGTAATTTTTCTCAGTGGGCCACACACATTAAGAAAGCATGTTACAGGATGCATTAATATTCTTTCCATCCCAAGAGAAACTTGCTCATGCTGCAGATGGTGATTAATCCAGAGCTACAGTTGGCCAAATGCAGAGAATAAGAGTCTACAGCATGCTTATCCCTGAATTGGACACCTAAATCAAACCTTTGCTACTCAAGCCTCAGGGATTATTTTGGACGTGGAGATAGAAAGATCGTAAGAGTGAGTGGTAGCAGATGGTCGTAAGGAAACCCTTTTCCAGATAGCTTGGAGATTACACAATTGAATTCACATCAATCGTGATGGTATGAACAAGAACCATGTAATCTCAAGCCAGACAAAATCCCAACAATAGAAGTGGGGAAGTGTGTAATAATCCCTAGCCTTAGCTGGGAACTACTGGCAACAATGAGCACCTGGGAGACAGAGTGTCGATTTTAAGGGAGTGACACTAGATAGGTTAACCAGGGTCCAGTGGATGGACCCACTCCGAAGGGCAATTGGTGACAGAAATTTGACTTGATAGGCCTTAACAGATATGCCAGAGTACATGAAATCAAGCATAGGCCATTAAGAATGGTACTGGGAAGGTGGTCTAAATACTGTGAAATTTTATGTGAAATTCACAAAAATTTATTAACTTTTTTTAAAAAATGAAAGCATGTTAAGTATAGGAGGACTTGTAGGGAAGAAGGGTTTTCAGCAGGAAAGCAAAGACGGTGAGAGAGGGAATTGGGCAAGAAAATGACTAAAACTTATAACACAAAATCTGGAACTTTCAAACAATAATAATAATAATAATAATAATAAACAAGCTGGGCGTGGTGGCGCACACCTTTAATACCAGCACTCTAGAGGCAAAGGTAGGAAGATTTTGTGAGATCGAGGCCACCATGGTCTACATAGTAAGTTCTATGCCAGCTTGGAGCTACAGAAAGACCCTGTCTCAAAAAACAAAAACAAATAAATGAGTAAATAAAGTAAATAATTATTTTATGTCAGGAGCAACAGTTTGAGAATGCAGATATTTTCCTTCAAACTAACATGTAAACTTAAATTGTTCAGACTATTATTGCTTTTAAGATGCTTTAAGAATATAAAATATGTTATATTGAAATTAAAATTCCAAAACATTAGATAGGAATTTAAAAAACAGGGCCTAGTAATACACACCAATTCTAATCTCTTGCCTTCTGGGTAGGAGCAGAAAATGAGGCCATATTCCTCATAGTTTTGCTCCCTAGGATCATTAAACCTAAATTATAGCTTTGTGTAGTAGTAAGTTTTGTTTCCTATTGAAAATCCATCTGAACTTGATACACTATTTATACAAACATAGGGTTATTTTCATGTGGGAACTGTCTGATTCATTTACATTACCTCCTAACCCTACCGAGTCAAGCATTATAAAATGAAAAAATTAATGGTTGGAAAGAAAACCAAAAAGAGATAACCTGAGTTTACTTTCTGTTTTGCTAACATGTTCTAGATTGATAACTTCTTTTCTTCATTAATTGTCTACCTCTGGTTTCTAGGGAATTGGTTGCTACACTTTTCATCTGATGCACATCATTTAAACTATCAAAATGTGTATTCTTGAAACCGAGCTCACTAGTCAAGAATCAATAACAGAAATTGCCATTTGAAGTTTTCTATTAAATTTCCATGCCAAATATTCACTAGTACTCTCCTCAAGAGCTTATCCTTATTCAAAAATATGATTAAGAATTTGCTTACTTTCCTTTTGCTTTCATACTTACGGCCCTGCAGAGATTAGGTTCTACTCAAAATAAACTGTACAAACACAGAGACTTGAACATTTTACAAAAATTTTAACATTAAAATACCATTAGTGGTGTTTTAAAAAACTAGACTCTTCCTTTTCTATTATCCCTGCTAGTAAATAAAGGTGGTAACAGAGGTTATAGAGAAAGAAGGGTAACTTGGCATGCACAGTCACTTGAGGATGGAGAAACTTAGATTAGCTATGAAAAACCCTTGTTTGAAGAGTGCGTGTTCTTTAATCTCAGATTTATTAGTCTTAAAGTCAGAAGAAGAGAACAAACAGAACTTTGCTAAGTATTTAATCATTTTTCATCAGAAAACACTGAAATATTTTAAGAAATTTGAGGTGTGATAAATGAAATGATTCTCAAGAAGGGGAAAAAATAAGGCCCCAGAAAATGATGACACTGTGAAAAGAAAGCATATAAACTAAGTTGGTTGAGCATAAATGAATTTTCCAGAGTACAAAAAGGACCACGTGAGCTTTCTTGGGGGCTGAGAGTGGGGGTTGGGGGAGGATTACGGTTTGGGATGTTTCTTCTTCTCCACCTCTAGTTCCTCGGCCCTTTGTACAGCGACATCCACCAGCATGTAGAAGTTGCTAAAATCAGGGCAGTCCTCTGGATACATCAGTTCTGGAGAAGACGACCAAGAATCACGGGTGGAAGTCTTGTCATCTTCCATTTCTTCTCCTTGGGTTTTCTGGATGAGCTTCTGGCTTGGAGAAGACTCGGGTTCTGGTAGCTTGTCTTTCCATTCTTGGTCTACTGGCAGGAGCCACAGTGGCAGAGCCTGAGCCCTGGCTGGCCCTTTGGACGTTGGCTGGACCACCACAGATGGGTTGGTGCTCTGCTGTTGGACTGCTACAGCCTCGCCTGCCTGGTGGTCGAGACGGTCTGAATCTTGTTGAAGCATACCTGGCAGAAGAAGTCTGCGGGCATTTGCAAACCAGTTTGAAATTTGCTCGCTGGATAAATTGCTCTGCTCCGAAAGCAGTCGCTTCTCCGCTTCTGAAGGGTAGGCGTTAAACCCGTGTTCATAGAGCCAGGCTCTGAGGACCATCACAGAGGCGGTGGGCAGGAACCCCTTCCGAGTCTTCAGGCTGTCCAGTGGATCAGTAAACATTTCTTCAGTGTTATTTCTTGTCATGACCGAGAAGACTTGATATGCGCCTTGGGTGTCCTCTGGAGTTCCTTCAGAAGCCTCCATGTTCTCAAAGCCTGTCTTCCGTAGCTGGAAACAAGGGACGAATGAAACGGAAGGAACCGAGCTCTGGGCGTGTGGGAGAAAGTGCTGTCAGATTTCTAAAGCGAATTCTCACGTGTTGCCAGGGTGATTGTTGCTAACAACTGAACCTAAGGCTCTATGAAGTCACATCCTCTCTGAACTGGACTGAACCACTGTACCACCATCCCACACCCCCAACTTCTTGGTTCTACCCAGTCTTCCTGCTTTTCTTTTCTTTATACTGTAGCTTCTAACATAGTGTTTGCACCCCATCAGTTTATAGGTTTTGTGTTTTCTCTGACACATCACCAATGTCCATTAACTGAAGAGGACTATTACCACTAATTTTCAAAAAAAATTTTAAATGCATATTGATTTAGGTGAGTGTGTGCATGCGCATGTGTGTGCGTGGGCATGTGTGTGTGAGTGCATGCGTGCATGTGTGTGTGTGTGTCTGTAGGCACATCGGCTATAGTGCGTGTTGAGGACAGAATACAGTCCATAGGAGTGTGTTCTCTCCTTTGGCCATGTGGGTTCTGTGACTGAAACTCAGGTGGTCAGGCTTAGCAGCAAGCACCTTCAGCAGCAGAGCCATCTTGTTGGCCCATTAATATTATTATTTTTTATTGTTTTGGATGTTTTTTTTTTCTATTTATTTATTTATTACTTTTTTTAATTTTTTTTTTTACAATTAGAGTTACAGTTTTAACAATATGCAAAATATTACAGTAATTCAGATTTTTTGGCATAATGATTACAGATTTGTTAAATACATTTTATATCTCATAATAGCGATGAGGATTATACAAAAGCTCTTAAAACAATTATGAGAATAAATTCTATTGTCACTTAAGTATCTAAAGCTATTTTCCTTTGCGTTCTTCCAGAATGATTTGTTCTTATTCTTTACCTTAATTTGAGGGACTTCAGGAAGATACTTGTTTTTTTTGTTTTTTTCATACAGAAGAATTCCTTCCAAACCAATTGACATTGAGACGTCTTCAAATGCATTTCTAATCTCTATATACATGACTATCACTGGTCACAGTTGCCCACCTTCTGAGCTCCTCGGCATCTCAGCATGAATACAAACTCGTCAGATAGACAGCCTTCCTCTCCCACTAGAGGCTCCATACTCTGCCATCCCTGTCACTGTCCACTGTGTTTATTACATTTTTATTTATTTTGTGTGTATGTGTTTACCATTAGTTTAAATAGACTCTTCACTTTCTTCCTTCTAAAAGTTTACTCTGTGTTTTTCCTTTTCTATTATTCCTTATAATTAGCTCAGTAGCTGCTCTCTCAGAAGATATTTCTCTATTAGATATTACCATTAATTAAAGAATGCAGCAAGTGTACTCAGATTTCTGTTTTCCGTGTAGCTAGCAGAAGTAAACTGCTCTTTTCTGTCTTCAAAGCTAAAGTTAATAACTGTTACGAAGACATTTCCTTTTGATACTCAATGCCCTTGTTTTTCTTCTCAATGGCATGAATTATTTGGTTTAAGACTAAAACCAAAGACATTTCATTGTTGCTTGTCTTGTTGTGGTTGTACTTGGGATTCTAATGCCTGTTGTGGTAAGTGCTTATCTTTGATGGTATTTCATAGGCCTGTGAATTTCTTCCTTTAACTCATATAAACTTAATTTGTAAATTGTGACATGAAAGATTAAAAAAATAATGGTGTGATAAACTGAGACTAACAAACTCTGAAAATAAATCTGCTGTTGTTTTAAAATTTTTTCTCTTAAATTATTATTTTATTCCTTCTGGACTTGTCTGAAATTCCCAATGTAACCCAAGCTGACTTTGAGCTCTATTTTTCTGCCTGAGTTTCCTGACTGCTGTGGTTACAGGCCTGTCCCAGAACTCTGGGATCCATTTTAAATGATATTTTAACATGATACATTATCTGCCTAACATTTTCCAGATATTTTCAAAATTTGAAACAAATTGACAGGGTATTCAAAAAACAAGCACTAAATTTCCCTACTGAAAGAGTGGTAGCTCATTAGGAATATGAAGCAGAGCTAGTTCTGGAAATTCAATTAATATACACCAAAAGTATTTATTAGATTTTTACATAATAATAAAGATAATATTTCTATTATGGCATTGTCTTCTGATCCACACACTTCTTGCCTTCCTCCATTGGTAGCCCCCATTCTATGTTTATGTCACTTGTACTTTATGATGTTCTGTATTCCTTCCCTCTCTATCATTTCTTTCCTCTTTTATATTCCTTTTTCTATGAGACTGATAGATAATATCAAAAACAATCTCTTTAATAAAGCTTATGGATCTTATAGATTATGGATTACCCTATTTTAAAGAATCAATTTCTCTTCTATTTAAATTTGTTCTTATCTTTATATATAGAAATACATTTCCAACTGTTGTATAAATCTGGCATGACTCAGATGTTGAACTATTACAAAATAGCAGAAATAGATCAGATTCATTTATAAAATCATAACATTATTCAATAAAATCTAGACACATAAAAACATAAAGCACAGAGCAAAAATAATTCAAGAAACCAAATGTGATGTAATATGAGAATGTGTGTAATTAATTCTACCTAACAGATAAAGGGGAAAATATTGTCATTTAGGAGACTGAATAAATCTGCAACACCAAGTTTCACCCTACCTACACCCTGCTTGTGAACACTTTCTGGGAATCTTCCTGACACCGAATAATCCATGTTAGATGGCATGGACCAGAGCCCTGGGATTCAGCGAGAATTCACTTCACTTCTTGGTCCACAAATAGCCCACCAAAAGGAGCCCACGCCTCCATACCCTGCTCATGAGCTCAGTGACTGCTGACAGACTGCGTGGTGTGGACCAATCAGAAAACAATACGCTGACTAAATGGAATTGGGGGCAGTGAAAAGGGAAATATAAGGCGTGCCTCCTCCTGCATTAAACGAACCTGCTGCACCTTGCCTAGTGTTTGCTTCTACTTGACTCCCAGAGTCTGTGTGTTATGACTCTGTGCCTCCAGCCCCCCAGTAGACAGGGGACCTGATCCAGGTTAGGGTCTTCACAGCTGGACTGAGGAGAACCTGCAACACCTGGCACCTGAACAGGGACTCCTGCCCACGGTGTTGGTGACACCCAGAACCTTGGTTTGTTCACTAAGTAGGCCCCTGGATTTGTCTGTTTCTTCAGCTGCTCGAGGGTAGGCGAGTAGCCCCCTCCTCGGTCCCCTCCACGCTGTGTGTCGCAGATAAAGGGGAAAATATTGTCATTTAGGAGACTGAATAAATCTGCAACACCAAGTTTCACCCTACCTACACCCTGCTTGTGAACACTTCCTGGGAATCTTCCTGACACCGAATAATCCATGTTCTTAATAAGTGTTCCTGTTACTAAAGTTCAATAAAGAAGTCTCACATGGCACTTATATCTGTTTTCCTTTGTCTGTCAACAATCTAACCCAGTTAATATGCTAGGGTGATGAATGCTACTACAATAAATATAAAAAAATAATAAGCTGTCATAATAGTCAACAGCATGTGTATTATGCAATATTGGGTATGATTTCCTCTTAGAAATTCACCAAAGACACAGATTCTAAAGAGTAGGATTCTTGAAGGTCTGTATGCTAAAATATGTATGCAAATACACTTCTGGCTTCAATATAAAATAATGTGTCTTTTTCAAAGTGGTTCTTAAAATATGAAGAAAAATGAAATGTACCAATCACCATAGGAATATTCAAGGAACTCTTGACATGGAAATAGTAGAATTATGAAAGTAAATATGTAACTTATATTAGAAACACTATAGAGTTATTTAACTAACATTTAAAAAAAATTCAATATAGGCCATTGTAGCAGGAGGCCTCCAAAGATGGCACGGACACAGAACCCTGGGATTCAGTGAGAATTCACTTCATTTCTTGGTCCGAAAGTAGCCCGCCAAAAGGAGCCCATGCCTCCGTACCCTGCTCGCGAGCCCAGTAACTGCTGACAGGCTGCATGGCACGGACCAATCAGAAAACAATATGCTGACTAAAGGGATTTGGGGGCAGAGAAAAGGGAAATATAAGGGCTGCCCCTTCCTGCATTAAACGAGCCTGCAGCACCTCACCTAGTGCTTGCTTCTACATGACTCCCGGGGTCTGTGTGTCATGACTCCATGCCTCTTGACCCCCCTAATCGGCAGGGGACCCGATCCAGGTTAGGGTCTTCACAGCTGGACTGAGGAGAACCCGCAACACCTGGCACCTGAACAGGGACTCCTGCCCACGGTGTTGGTGACACCCAGAACCTTGGTTTGTTCACTAAGTAGGCCCCTGGATTTGTCTGTTTCTTCAGCTGCTCGAGGGTAGGCGAGTAGCCCCCTCCTCGGTCCCCTCCACGCTTCGCGTTGTCTTTATCGTTGGACTAGTTTGTTAGATCAGGGAGGCACACTCCGCCACGTGGTCCTGAAGCCTATGTCGGCACCTCCCCTCTCTCGGCTCGTCCCAGTGAGTTCACATAAGGGCTGATCAACCCCGAACTCAGAGCCCAGGCTTCGGGTCACCCTGTTGCTTGTCCTGGATACACCATGTGAGCATACAGCTGGAGGTGTCACGGCCTCCAGAAGTCCCTCACTGAGCACAAGACATTTGGACCCAATACACCTTTTCATGTCTCGGTGGTTTACATCCTAGTGGCTCACAGTTCTTCTTTGCTTCCTTTGTGCCCTCTTGGTGGTAACCCTTGTCTTCTACTTTTGTGGCGAATTCTGCTTTGCAAGACCCTCCCACAATGGGCAATTTACCACCACCATGCAGGGAACCACAAATGGCAGCACTCAAGGTTCTCCTTAAAACCAGAGGGTTGAAAGTGAAACCAAAAGATATGGAACACTTTGGGATGAAGCCACTAATTTGGCTCTGTGGGTCTCCCCTGAAAACATGTGGGACCCTGACACATGGATGCGGGTCCTCTTCCTGGCCTGAAAGAGGGAGGTCGGGTCAGGGATCAC